GAATTATTTGTGTTGTTATTACAAGTGTTGCTGTGACCCCCTAGGAAAAGGTTATGCCCCGCTCTGTAGTAAATCTGACTAAATCATCCTGATTTCTTATTAAAGTAATATGTTCATCCAATCTATATTATATATTATATAATAAGGAAGTGTCCCCTCAGCAACAATTATGAGATGCCTGTAGGTTAGCCAATATCTAGATTGGCTCCACATACATACTCCAGATTTCTTACTTTCCTTAGTTTCCCACATTCTTCTCAAAGAAGGAGCAAACAACTTGAATTTTGACCACAGATGGATCCTAAGCTTATTTATCTGGAATCTTAGCCATCACTAGTACCCAATGATTATTTTGAAATTGGTGGCATAGTTTCCCACTTTGTACATGAATACACACACACACACACACACACACACACACACACTACACATTCACACACATGTGGACAATGTGTATGCTACCCAATTTCAAAATTGTTCTGGGAAACCAGAAACAAGGGGCTTAATATTCTTTTTAAAAACTAATTTTTCTGGTATATTTGCCCTAAAAATGTTAGCCAAATACAAGACCCTTTTTTCATCATTTGCATTTCATAACCTTGCCTTTTCCACAAAGCTAAAAATTACCTACCAGTGGAACAGTGTTCAAAATGTCAAATTAAATAACAGTTACATTTAACTGCTATATAAAATTTTCTTTAAAAATAACATTGTTATATATTTCTTTAGCTGTAACAAAGTATGGATCACTTGAAATTGGTTTCATGTCTCTAAAAACTAAAAGCTTATGACACAATTGAAATAATATTTATAAATGCAGAAAGTCTATATTGAAATAAACTTCCTAAACTTTCTAAATGATCATAGATGCATTAGTTCTACCGTTGAAATTAATGGGGTATTCTAAATACTCTCAGCTACTTCTGGTCTAGATCATGACACTTGAGTATAAGACATTTAACCAGTGTTAGGTATATCTATGGGATTATTTGAAAAAATTAATCTTGGGCCAAGATTTTATTGTAGCAGTTGGTGAATGTTGGATACAATGGATAGCTCTGATCTCAACTTTGTTGAATAAGCAACCATCGATAAATGGAGATATATCTTGAATGGTCCTAAAAATATCAGGTTTTGATTCTATTCTATTCTATTCCTACTCCTACTCCTATTCTTTTAATAAATTGTAACCATACATGCTCATGTGTAAACATAAATAAATGTTTATAGTGTATCTTCAGTTACTGAGGTCTCTTCCTTCTCCATCCATAAGCATTTTTTCTCAATCTCAAGAGGAGACCAAAAAATTTACTGAACATGCTTTCATTTTCCCCTTATGCCATGCCTACTCTTATAGTCATAAACAAGAAATTTAAATTTTAAATTACAATTTGATACAGTGCAATTTAGATTTTATGTTTAAATTGTACTTATTTATTTATTTATTTATTTATTAGACTTATATACTGCTTCATAGGACTTTTAGCCCTCTCTAAGCGGTTTACAGATTTTTTAGCAAATTGAGTCAGCAACTTGCCCCCACAGTCTGGGTCCTCATTTCACCCACCTCGGAAGGATGGAAGGCTGAGTCGACCTTGAGCCGGTGAGATTTGAACTGCTGAACTGCAGATCACAGTCAGCTGAAGTGGCCTGCAGTACTGCACCCTAACCACTGCGCCACCTCGGCTCTGAAATTAATGAATTCGACTGATCGATCGAAAAACTGGTACATTTTACATTTAGGGATACTTTTGTGTGGAAATATACATTTTATGTGCTTTAAAATACATTACTGTAATATTTAAAATATTTTTGAATGGTAGATTTCATGCACAAAAAATCAGAAAAACATAGGTTTCAAAATACAGTTGAGTTTTTAATCTATGTATTACTTCTAAATACAAGTTCATCTTCAAAATCAAACTAAACAAAAATTGCTTGGTAACCAATCATCAGAAAATTCAACTTTCTACTGAATCAGTAGATTGCTAACATTACTACTGGTCAAACCTATTTGTTTAAATATTAACTACCATTATGTTTTATACATAGTTTTTAAAATAGCCATTGTACGTACAGAATAATGTTTGATTGAAAATACTATACAAGTATTTTTATTATTTTCTACTAAATTACTCATGATGCTAGCAGATTCTACTAGACAATGCAAAAATATTTTACCCATATTTACCATTTTATATCTTCAGGAAATGTCATTTGGTTGTTTATTTAAAGTAGATTAGATTACAGAATTTTGGCAGCTTCCCAAGTTCTGTAATTATTGAATGGAATATTCTAAATGAAAATGTTCTGATTTAATTAAGCACATTTTTAATCTA